CAAATTTAAAGTTTATAAATTTTTTTAAAATAAAAATCGAATAAAAATTACTTTTATTTATTAGAAAATTCAATTCTAATTAACTGTACAAATATATGGATGATTCCCTCCCGCTTAATTTCTTTTTGTTTTAGCATTTTTTGTTGTGGGTGATGTGATGATATGAAAGCACTATGTTAGACATTGGACATTTGTCGTTCCACTATGAAAAATAATAAGGATAATCTCTATAGAAAATAGCGAAAAATGATAAGCATTTCGACGTTGAAGTTATCGAAACTCGGTCTATGTACAAGACAAACACAATATCCGGGATCCACATTAAAAATTACACTAAAAACTCTATTTCCCATTGTGAAATACTTACTATCTAAGTTATAGCGTTACTGCTTCAACTTTTTATTCTTTAAACATTTCTCTGTCATTCTCCAAAGACAACATTTAGATGGTAAAGATTTTACAATGGGAAATTCGATTTTTAATGTTGATTTCGGATATCGTGTTTATCCGCACATAGACCGAGTTTGAGTAACTTAAACGTCGAAATATTAATCATTTTCCGCTATTTTTTACAGATATAACCCTTATTGTTTTTCTTGATGGAACTACAAATGTCCAAGGTCTGATATAGTGCTTTCATATCACCACACTACCCACAACAAAAGAAAAATATATACGAATGGAAAAAAGCGCCAACTCCTTTCTAATTGTCACGGTTCGTCAGTTCTATATTTTGGCACCTCATTAGGCCACATTGCCAAGTTTAAAAAAGAAGTAGTTATATATTCTGACAGCACTTGAAATCGTCTATCTTCTTCTATATTTGTCTACTGTATTGCGTTGATCTGTTGCAAAAAATAATTTGAGTACAATGAATACACTCTCAATCGACAAGTACAAAAAATCTAAATTTTTGGCTACTTTTTGTTTTAGTTTTCTTTACTCAATTATATTTACTGTGGAGATATGTGAAAGTTTTCAGATGTGAGGTTTGGTTTATCAAGATAAAACCTCTCTCCTTTAACCTTGTCTCAATATTTTGAAGTCTAAAGATATATAAGTAAAGAGTTGGACATCTATTTCGTTACACCAAATTTACTTAAAATCCTTACTTTAACAGCATTTGAATATCTTGAATGCAAGACACGACAAAAATATACAGTATGCTAGAGTATATGAAGATCTATCAGAATGTATTTATTGTTTTTCTAAAAAATGAAATCCATTGTAACTATGATTTGAAAAAGCAGCAAACTTGTGTAGTTGTCAATCGATAGTATCTTCATTATATTCAAATTATTTTTGCAATACATTAATGCACGACAATAGACAAGTATATAGGAAGATAGAGAATTTCAAGTGCTATCAGAAAATATAACTGCTTTAAAAAAAAACGTATTTCTATAGTAATAAAAAAATTAAAAAAACTAATTATGATGGCAGTGATCAAATCTAGTTCATGAAAACCTAGTATTAATGATGTCTTCATTACAGTCAATTTATTTTCTAGTAGATTAGCACAAACTGAAACATAAATATACAAAATGATAAAAAAAAAAAAAACTTCGAATGCGTTCAGAATATGAAATTAGTTTGTTAAAGATATGTTTTTTATATTGATGATATACTCAAAATACTAACTGGAACTATTTCGTTTTTGCCAGGCTTATATATAAATATATGTGTACATATCTAATTAAAATGTGGCTAAATACGCCAGTTAAATTGATTTGATGGATGAGATGCACGTGCTAATGTATCTCTTGATAAATAATCTCGTTCATGTTGAAATGGTTGATGTTGTCCCATGTGTTGTTGACCAGTACTACTCATTTGTTGATAAGTATAAGGATCAACTTTAACCATTGGTAAACGAACTAATTCAACTTCAATAAGAGTACGTGGTTTACCATATGCAACAACTATATTATGTGGTGGTGGTGGAGTTTTAAGAGATTCCGGAGGTAATGACTGTTTAATAATGCGTTTTGGTGCTGGTTTAAATGGTAACCATTGTTCAACAACAATAGGACCTTTGTAAAAATAAATAATTGATTTTTAGTTTGAAATAATAATTAACATACGTGGTTTTGGTGGTAAATCAGGATAACGATGAATGATTATCTAAAAGATATTTTTTTTTCAAGTTTATTTGACTAATAAATAAAAATGATACTTGTTGCGGTGGTTGTTTTGGTGGTGGAATATATTTATTATAAATAATTGGTTGATCAGGTTCAGTTGGTGGAGGTTGTGGTGGTGTACTTTTAATGACAATTGGTGAAGGAGTTCGAGGTTCACGTTGACCAACACGAACATGTATTGGTGGTTTTTGTAGTTCTGGTTGAAGTAAAACTTCTTGAACTTGAATTTCAACTGGTTGTGGAGTAGGTGGTTGTAATTGACGTAAATAAACTTTTTGTTTGTATATTTGATCAGAACTTTCACGTTCTTCAATAATTGGATTTGGATCCATATTCAATTCTGTAGTTGGTTCATTTGCATTGGTTGACTAATCGAAATAATAAAAAAGAAAAAAAAAAGTTTTGTTATCTTTCGAAAAAGAAATCTTAATAAGCATATTCTGATCATACATGATCGTTTAAATCATCTTCACTAGACATATCTTGTTGCCGTCGATGAGCATCAGTTCTTACTGTAGTTTCAGCTTGAGAAGGATATTGTCGAAAAGCAGATATATTTTCATAGAAACGAGAAGTAGTTGCTGCTTTTGTATCAATTTTTATTGCAGTTTTTGCTAAATCAGTTTGTTGTTCATTGTCTTTTTCAAGTCGAGTTAAAACATTAGTAACATAATGTTTAATAGAATCTTTTGTGGTTGTTACATTTGATGGTCTCTTCTGTTTCTGTTGATGATCTGAAGATGATGATGATGATGTATCATAATTGAAATCCGGTGATGAAAGTTCAGTACGAGTTGCCTTTTTAGCCATTGTTTCAGCAAGTATATATTTAAAAAGGTTATAAGTCGCCTATTAGTTGCCTATAATTTTGTAGGTACAATAATGTATGCATGTGTAAGAAGCCTTGTCAGGCATACATAGATACAAGGAGACAATCAAACAGTTAGTGACGCATTCATCTTCTGACCTTCGTATCATGTTTCATTTTTCTCTCATTCTTCTATGACGTTGATCGTTACGGTACTTTATTATGCATTCAAGCGTGAACTATTGAACAAGCGATATTTTGTCAATAGTAAATACTGATTAAAGATTTGTTCATTTGATCAATTCAACAAAGGAAATCGACATTAGAGCGATATTGTAATTATATGAATTGATTCATTGAAATATTTTAGTCTTACGGTTGAATGATTTATCAAAGGACGATTTACTCGTATTATCATTAAAAATGACTTATACAAATAGTTGTAAAAGATATATTTTTCTTTTTTGAACAAATTGACTTTTTCTATCATATAAAAGAAAAGAAAAAAGTTAAATCGCTGAAAAAAAAAAATTCATATTCAAGTGAATTTTTCGTTCTCGATTGTAAGATGAAATTTGATAGATAATATAATCGATGATTTATGATCAATCTATAATTGATATGTCATATGTTTATACATCGATCGTTTTTAATACCTTACCATTTCTCAGTAAAGATAATCATCTAGATTTATTTAGTAATTGTATTTCTTTTGTTTATGATTATTTCTCTAATATGAACAAATTCGTCATAATTTGCGTTTGCAAATATATTTGTTATATTATTAATACTAATATCATATTAAGAATATGTTGCTAATTTTTTTTTAACGATCGACTTTTCTTAGAACTATTGATTCGCTTCTCATATTACTTTCTTGTTTTGTATTTTTCAAATATGCAAAATTGAACAGACTTTAGGAGATGTATATTTAAAAGTATCATTTTAAATTTATTTTATTCAACTGGCATTCTTATCAAAAGGGTGCATTATTAGTAAAAATGTTAAAATAATTATTATCAAGTTTATTTTTTTTTGTCACTCGTTTTTCATTATATTTCTACTTTAATCATACAAAGAAATCATACCTGAATCTATTTTAGCAACAGATATCCTAAACACCCAATGATAAAAATGGCATAATGAGTGTAAAACGAATCTTAACATGAAAGCGTAGAAAATAAATTTGATAAATATATTTTAGCATGATTTCAAATACATATATTCAATATTTGTCAAACTTTCTATATTCGAAAAATACGAAAAAACTTCTAAATGACCCAAAATCTATGAAACAGTGTTAGTAAATTTTACTTTCAAAGAATGTTTCGTAGTCAGATGAGCTTATTCAAGATAGAATCATTAATGCAGTGCGAAGCACAGCATTTATGTAGTCCTTCGCGTACGCATTCCGCCTCCATACTTTGCCTATATTTCGCTGTAACAAAATCTGTACTTGTGCCACAATGTTCTAGAGAACGGTAAGTTGATAGAAATTCGTTCGAACTATGCCAGAGAGATAGATGTCTTGAGATGACTCAAACGATTTTGAATCTTCAATATGAATTTTCGTTCTTCTTCAGCAATTTCCACAAAACATTGGTTTTGACGATTTGTCCTTCATCTTTTACTCGAGATAATTAAAATTAGTGAACTGGTCTTCAGTCAGCTGTTATGAGCAGGAAAAATAATGAACACTTTCGATAGAACAGGATCGACTCTTAGTGAAATTGCTTATCATTCTTATGGTAATTAAAATTCCATTGCCGAAAGCTAAGATCACTTTATATCGCTTTTATGTAGTCCTTTGTGATTTTTCTTTTTCTTTTTTATCTATTGGATGTGAGCATTGAACGTTATCATTTTCTATTGCGATGATCTCGAAAACGAATAGTTCGAGAATACGCAGGTAGACGTTCTTGTACTGTTTAATTCACATATCGAAGAAAGTAATAGATTTGGAGGAAACATTTTTCTGAAACATCATCATGTCCATTGAATGGAACATTTGATGGCATATATTCATCTAACTCATACGGCGTTGTTGACTATGTTAAGAAATTTTGTGGTATATCAAAACAGTATGAAAGAAGACCTTTTGATGTTGCCGATTGAGAATCAAGTGAATTTGTATGAACTGATGATGGAGTAGTAGTTGCACATGTAATGGATAGTATTGTTGGTTGCCGTTTAATAATTTCCGTTTTAACTAACTTAAGAGCTTTTTCTTGAAAACCAGTATTATTACAAAAACTTTTCATGGATAAATGAAGAAAGGTGCTGATATAATGTGCATCTTGCAACATCTACACATCTTGAAACTCTTACCCTCAAGAAAAATTTCGGTTCCTAACGTTTCCGGTTCTCGGTTCCATTTTTTTTTTGGAACCACAGGGCTCTACTTGCTGCTTTCACTGTCCATGAGGACAAAACTGATCGAAATCATGTTTTGATCACACTCTTGTGCAGCTTGTTGAAGAGCTTTACAGATTGGAGCAACATCTGTAAAGATTTCTTTTGTTTTTGACCGGTGTTTGATCCAACATTTATGTCCAGCTTGGCTATCACTCCAAATAAAGATACTATTCACTTGTGGAATTTGATGAACAATAGGAGGAGTTTTTTTGCATGTAAGAATCAGAAAAGACCATAAATATTTTCCTTTCATGAATATCAGTTATAAAATCGATGCATTCATTTACATCAGCGAATGGATATATTTTTTTTTACTATTTCTCTTATTTTACTGATGGTATTCATACAATCACTGTTGTTCATATCATTAGTATTGGGATCGAATCACACCAGAACGAAATTCTGAACCATACGAATAGGAAGAAGCCGTCGTGTGCTTATACTCGTAGGTTCTGAGAGCGTGGTAGTAGTAGTAGTAGTTGCTGTTGTTATCGACAGTTTCGTTTTATCCATGTTGTGCGTAATGTTTTATCAATGAAAAAGATAAAAAATAAAATGACTTGAATTTATATAGTACGTTACGATTTTTTTTCTAGATATTTTTTTTGTCATTTGAGCTCTTATCTTTTTTCGTTTCATTCAAGTGCTTCACCTCTTTTTTTTTATCAGTCCCTATCTTTAGCGTCAGCAGTAAACGAAAGAATGAAAAGAAATTCATTGCAACATAATTTCATACACAGTGTCACGTTTTGCTTTTTTTATGATATTTTAGAAGCTTTTTCTCGTCCTCTTCTTATTTAGCGGTAAATATATTTGTATATAGAAATAGATTATTGTACAATGTTGTTTGAAAATGCACGATGAATTATTATTTCAGTAAGTTATTTTTTTGCTCAATTGAGAGTTTAGTATCAATACGAAGCCGATGAAATCATAGGTAGAAAGTTGCTATTAATGTTCTTACAGTATTCTTAATGAGAAACTAAATGAAATCATCACCATTAATTTGTTTTTAAAAACACAACATTACGTCTATGATATTTTTCCATAGTTACTCGATTATATTGTTATTATTTATATCGATTTTCAAAATCAGTACATTTCATATATTCATTCCGAGACCTAAACTAACTTTCTCATTTATAGGTTTATAAAATTTTCGAATTGAGGTTGTGAGATTGGTTTTCATTATATAAAAAAAACCAGTCGCCACCTCGAAAATCGTCACTTTGTGAAGTGAATTGAGAAATAACGAAACTTCACATCGTAGTTTTGATAAAAAAATTGATGATATAGGAACATAAAAATTTGTAATATTGTTTCAACGAAAATCTTTTAGTTCTCAAGTTGTTAAATTGTCGAAAAAGTAAAAATAATCACGAAAGATAAACAAAATGAGACCATTTCTATACTGTTTATTTGTTGATACTATATATAAAGTAGACATCAATGAAGTTTGATCTATTGAATAACAAATTCAGCAATCAAGGAATTCTACGTATAGATAATGCACCATATAAAATAGCTAAAACTTTACAAATGAGTTGGAGATGTTGAAATGAAATATTTTACTAATGCATCAAAAAGATAATGCAATGAGATTCATATTAATGTTTATCATTCAACATAGACATTAATAAAGTTAAATTTTGCATTTAACAAATCAGTAAATCAAGGAGCACAATATTTAACTTATACATTATTCAAAATAGATTAACATAATCTTTTGTATTTCGAACAACAAATTACTTTGATTGAAATCAAATTTTTTCGTTTAAAGCGTTTATATTTTAGTTAAAAGTCGATTTTAAACTTCCTGGTATTATTTAACGTACTGAATTTTATATTTTTTTTGTAGAGTTTATTTCATTGTAAACCTTGTATCTTGTTTTATTTTGCTTTTTTTTTTAATATAACATAGTTAATATATGAAAAATCATTTGAAAGATAAAAGACGTTATGGTAATGGTGAAGTTGAAATTGATTTTTATCTAACAAACCAAAATTTGTAAATATACATATGCATTTCGACTTACGAGAGAATTGTTCCAACTGTCAAATTACTTTTCGATTGAGATGATATTTATTTAATAAATACTAGGAAGTAACAGAGAAGTTGAGAATGGTTTGATTTTTCGGGTCTTTATTCTTTCTATATTGAAGTCTTACGGAGTTTTTCAATAAATATTTGTGGTCTCCATTAAGTAAAGTTAGACTTTTGACTCCAAACTTTGCACGAACAAAGTTCTTAATGAGATTAGTTGAGTGTACAACTTTAAGCTTTTCTCTTATTTTCATTTTAGAGATGTAAATATTTGAACAAAATTTTCTTTTTATACATGAGAGAATTTCGCATATTCGATGTTTCAGAACGCAAGACACTAGAAAAATTACAACTTATTCAACGAACTAATCTCATCAAGAACTTTCTTCATGCAAAGTTTGAAGTCGAAACTCTCATATGACTTGAGGATATAATAGATTTTTGTTGAAAAATCCAGTAAAACTTTGATATTTCAAGAATAAAGGCTCGAAAAACTAAGCCATTCGAGGTTTTTTCTTAGTACACTCCTCAAATAAACATCGTTTCCGTCAAAGAGCAATTTGACATCTGAAGAAGTTTCTCTCGTAAGCTACTAAATTGTTAATAGGTCTATTTTCTAGAGACCCCTAGTTTTCAGAAAAATCGTCTTTTTCTAATTTTAATCCGAAACTTTGCTCATGGAGAGAATGAAACTTCTAGTTTTTATCGTATATCTTAACGTATTACTAAATGTTCGATTTTTGACTTGACTCTATCCCAAGAGAGAGTAGTTTGATCTATAGAACATAATTATTCTACGATAATACATAAAAACACGTTAAACTTCTTCAATGAAAATATATATTCGTTCGAGACCTTTAAATAAAAGTTTGTTTGACTGGGTAAATAATAACGACGAGTTCACGAAATATTAAATTGATCCGATTTTACATTATTTATTTTCAAGTTTCAAGGATATCGACATATTCTATTTCGTTTCGTTCTTGTAGTCATTTTGGTTATTTGTGTCAGTAAAATATGAAAAGAACTCAAAAAGGAGTGAAAGAACTAAAATCATAATAATGAACAAAAAAAAATATATATTTGTCATATATATGAAAAAAAAAAGAAGTAGTATTATGCAGTACAGGAATAAATAGACATATATTTTAATATTTATTTTATTTTTTATGTTAACGAGAGATTATTCCAAGTTTTTCTGATTTTTTAAAAACAATCAACATTAACTCATAAACTAAACATTAAAATCAAATAATATCAAATATCAACACGAATGAATAACATAAACAAAACATAAAATAATAATTAATATTATAGAATGAATATAATGTTTGAATAGAATCCAATCTATTATACTTTCATAATAATAAACTATTAATTTTATGTAAATAAATTCAAAATGAAATAGAACTTTAGAGTTTTTATAACCTAAATAAAATAAATAGTCATACAGTAGAAAACAAAATAAATATAAAAAGATATGTGTTTTTTTTTCTACAGAATTAATATTTATTTTGTTCAGAACATAAAAATACTCCAGTTCTTTTTTTATATGTTCTCTCTTGTTTATACTTTCTATTTTTACTATTTTAGAAGAATTTTTAAGAATAAAAAGGTAAAAATTGATAGATTTTATGTTTTATTAATCTGTATTGATAATATTAGAAAATAAATTTCAATGCTCGATAAAAAAGTAAATATGTTATGCATTTATATCTTTCGCAATTATAAAATGTATAACACAAAATAATTACTGTCACTAATAGAAAGACAAGTTGAAAAGCTTGAAATTCAGTTTGATTAATTAGGTAAAATATTCAATTGATATTATACTATTCTTTTATTTTGATTATAAACTTATAGCTTTTTTTCTTTTAATAATTACTAAAAGTGCATAGTAAATTCTATTTTCAAGGCAATGTTTATCACAGTCTGTCAGATGAGTGAGCAAACACTTCTCTAATATTCTAATTAGTTGATGTTTTCAAAAACCTAATTCAAGAAAAGAGAACTGCTAATTATAAATTTGATTTTCATATTGAGAAATAAATCTAAATTATTCATATTATTTTAACTATGTTGAAAAAAAATAATTTATCCGAACTAAAATTCTAATGTGATATCTAGCAGTTATATATTTTTTTTCTTTAATTTAAAAGTATATTTTGTCAAACACATGTTGAAATTCTTTTTTTCTAGTTGTATTGTTTCATTTTCAAAGTGAGTAAGACGTTAAAGAACTACGCAAAAATTCTTTTGCTATTGACATAAAGAAGCAAAAAAGAAAAAAAAAAATGAAATGAAAAAAAAAAGGCATCAACGACAGATTTCTTATTGGTTCCATACATCCAACATCTTTTTTTTTGACAATGAATTCTCGAAGAACGGAATAAAAACTGGCATTCATCACAAATAATTAACAAGCACAATTTTAATTGTTCAATGTATAAGGAATTATTATTGAAATTAGGTAATTTACAATATTTTAACGATGATTATATTCGATTTTTTCAATCTCGTGCAACACATAGAAAATTAATTTTATTTATAATTGGTCTTATTATTTTTTTTATAATTTATCATTTTTGGCTTCATCGAAGTCAATATACTAATGTATGGTCATCAAATTCAAAAATATATTATTCTTCAATTAAAAGTTTAGTTCTTAATAATAATAATAATAGTAAAAAGTTACATGATAAAGCTCAAGGACCAGCAACATGTTTAATTATAATTCGTTCAGCTGATGGAGCTCTTGGAAATCGAATGTTTTTATTTGCTAGTGCATATGGTTTATCACGTCTTCATCAATGTCAATTATATGTTGCACCATGGATTTTAAATGATCTTCGATCAGTATTTCTTATTCAAATAGATAAAACAAAAGTTCAATTAACAACAGATAATTCTCTTGTTATTAATCGAACTGATATATATGGACGATATAGTGCTTGTACATTATATAGTGATTTATTTAGAATTCCATTTAATTCAACTTTTAATCGATATGAAATGATTGGATTTTATCAAGCTTATGGATATTTTGAAAAATATAAAGAAGAAATAGCATTTTTATTTCAATTTAATCAAGGAGCTATTATTAGAAATATACAATTAGTTGAACAACTTCTTAAAGGTAAGATTTAGTTTTTTTTTTTAAATATTTCAATAATATTGAAATTCATCTTGTCAGAATTATTTAAGAAAATTATCTATTTGAATTCTACCAGTATTCAAAGAATAATATAAATGTTTTAGAGAAATCTATATTTAAATAATGTAATCAATATAAATATAGTCAAATGACGATAAGAATAATTTTTAATGTATAGATTTCTTTATCTAAGAAATATATCTTGAAAGTTTTATTTAATCATGGATAAATTTTTATAATTTAAAGAAACGATGAAAAACTTAGGTCTATCGTTTTTTTTTAAAATTTTTATCCGAGAAATACATAGTTAAAAACCTTCAATGAAATAATAAAAATCTATTCATTTTCAGCTGTATGGAATATTTCATTGAATTTGGGTAATTATACAAAAGATAATGTAACACATTCATATTTAAAATCTCTTCTTATAAATCCTCGATTACCATTAATAGCTGTAACTTGGATTGGAATTCATATACGTCGTAGTGATTTTTTAACATTTTTTCGAATTGATACAAGTATTGAATATCTTAGTTGGGCAATGAATTATTATAGAAGAAAATATATTAATTGTCGATTTTTAATTGCAAGTGATGATAAAAATTTTGTTAAAAAAAATTTTGGAAATATTTCGGATATATTTGTAACACCAACAGGATTTTTTTCAGGTGAAGATTTAGCTGCATTAGCTTTATGTGAACATACAATTGCTACAGCTGGTACTTATAGTTGGTGGGCAGGTTGGTTAGCTGGTGGAAATGTTATTCATGATCTTAATTATCCTGTACCATTTCAAAATTGTATTAAAGAACATTATTTTCCACCTTGGTTTCTTTTTCCACATAATAGTTCAAGTTTACAATGGAAACCACCAACTCAAAAAAAATAACCGTTCGATTTTGTCTATAATAAAATGTAATATTATCGAATTATGACAGTTAGTGTTTCTCATTATTTTGAAAATTTCATCTAAGAAAAAAGTTTAATTTTGTTTTCTTTTTCAAATGAAGGAATAAATAGATTTATTTTCGTTGTTTTATTCATTTTAAATGCATCTTAAAAAGGAAAAAAATTTAGTTCAAAGATATCGATGAATAAAACTTTTGTTACTAATTCTTTTCTATACTAAAAAAAAACAAATTATTATACAAAATGAATAGTATTTAACTAATTAAGGTTTAGTTTATCGATATTTCACCTATTATAAATAGATTTATGAGAAAAATTTTTCCTAATTAGATTATCATATTTACTCTTTACAAATCTTATTGCTTATTAAAAACTGTTGTTTCCTACTTTTTCAAAGTTCCATCAGAAATGAATTGATTTTCATCAGCTAGAACAATTAGAAAATAAAGAAAAGAGATAAACAAGTTATAGAATATTCTATTAATCAACTTATTTCTTATATAGAAATATGTATAGTTGTGAGAATGATGAAGACAAATTTGAATAGATATTTTCTTGAATTATTCTATATTAGAGACAAATAAATAATTTCTATTTATTTTTCACAACTCAAGTCAATCACTCACAATCGTATACTAATCAATGACGACCAAAAATAACAGTCATTTATCGTAATTATAAATGACAATTCTAAATAATGGTCGTGTAAAATTGGTGTTGACGATATTCGAATAATATTGTAATTCATCATATATACCAATGGCAAATGTTTTACTACATGTGTAATATTTTTTAAATGTATTCTGTATTAATGTAGTGCTCGACACTTCCGAAAAAAAGTAGAATCGAGAATCAAGCCGGAACCAATATTCTTTTTTCTGTTTCTCTTACTCGGAACTGGAATCGATAAAGCCGAATATTTTTGTGTTGACAGGTGGAAAGCTGTTGAAATGTTATATTATTAGAAATCGGAAACATTAATCTACGATTGCGTTAGTGATAAACGATGCTTATTTTTCACAATTGGATGAAAGAAGAAGCTAAAAATAGCTACAATTTTGATAAAGACTCTTGAAAAAATTGAACGTTATCAAAAAAATACTTTTTAAGAAAATTTAAGGTTAGATATTCGATTAAAATTTTGAGTCATACTTCTGGTAAAAGCAAAGTTTTCGTCAGGAAAGACGATTTTTCTTCTTAAAAGTTGGTTTGTCTTACATTAGTTATTTGATAACACGTCTTCAGTAATAATATTGTATCATTATAAGAGATAAACTCAAATATTTTTTTTTTGTTTGAAAGCGCATTTTTTCAAAAAATTGAATTTTGACTGAAGAAATAAAATGTTCTCTGGAAACAAAGTTTTATCGAAATTTGGCTTTTCTTATGAAATTTCTCAGCTTGGCAGATGAGTTTTTAACTTAATTTATGCATGAAGACGAGAAAAAGAACAAAAATCAAAGAGTTACAAGAGATACTAGACCTGAGCGTCTTCTATTAAATAAAGAAAAAAGAATAAACTATTTTATTTGAGTCAGTTGAATACCATTGAACATATGATAGATATTAAAAAAAAACAAGTATGATGAATATATTACTAATATTGTTCTAGATTCTACGAAGAATGATATATAAAGCTGAAATTTATTTCTATGTATAACTATGCATATTTTAATATTTTCAGAAAATTTCAGTTCAACAAAAGAATTCTATAGTTGATTAAGAATCATGATTTTATCATTAATTTCTCTTCGTTATTTTATCTGCCGAAGAAGTCGCTTTTTTTTCCAAAGTAATAGATATTAGCAATCTTGATAGTTAGTATATTATTTAGAAATAATAATTATGTCAGTTACCTGAAATACTATTATTAGATCATTGCTTTCAAAGATACTTTTCTATGAATCAATATTGAAACCCTTTTTTCGTTTTTCCTAACTAAAATTGAAACTAAATCGTTGATTCTAATTTTGTGCTTTTCTTCAAATCATCATTCTCTATCGGAATAACTAATTATCATCAATGATCTGACTTACTCAATAGAACAGAATGCAAGAAATCGATTTAACCAAGTTATTTGATTTTATCTTGATACACATTATTCAACATTATAACTAGTAAACGTACTACTATAACCTATCAAGTAATTAGGTCTAAGAATATGATTATAAGTCTATATAGTAGAGATATATAGGTATAAGAATTGGAATATGAAGTTTTTGTCACAAGGCTATAAGTATAATATGATAGCTATAATAGCATAAATATAGGATTATAGTCAGAAGGATATCGACCTGAGACAAAAATGTAAAATAAAAGAAGGAGCTCGTTCTTTACGATAGTAGTATTTGTTTAGGGTTATTTTACAGTCCAAATATCATTGTAAACTGTGTTCGTATATGATACGGTAACATAAAACGATTCTAATATACCTAACGAAAAGTTAATTTCACGTCTCGCATATAATTATAATTTTCTTATTTACGTGCGTTTTCATCATAATTATTGTTAATATATGATCATTTTACGATTATTGAAAAGTTTGATCAGAGGATATTTTCATTGTACATTTGTTTGCCTTAAATAAAATAACATGTATAAATAAATGACACGATTTGTTTTTCCTCATCATTTCTCAATCAAATATTCATTTTTCTTGAATGGGAAAAAAAACTAAAATAAATAATAGTGATAGATTCTTCCTCAAATCACTATTTTATTTGTTTTTTTCCGGGTGTTAATGATGTATGTTGTTGGATCTCAAACATCAATGAATAAAGATAAGAAAAATAGATGAAGAAAGAGAAACAGCGCCAAGAACGACTACAAAAAAAGACTAATAAAAAAAAAACAAGAAAGAAGGTAATCATATACAGAGACATTTAGGGAAAAAAGAAGTATTGTCATTTAGGAAGATGTCGCAAGGTTTGAATGAGTTGGTTTTGGAGCCGAATCAGGCGCCAATGTACGAATAAGACTAGCAGCCGTTTCAAAAAATTCCATGACTTCTGATACACCATCATCAGATGTAACATCATTTTCATTATCTGTAAAGTCCCAACTTGATGAACGATTTGGTTGAATATTTTCCATATCATCATCATCAGGAAGTCCTCAAAAATAAAAACAAAAACAAAACTATAATTAATAGAAAATAATATTTCATACTAAATGATGGATTTTGATGAGGATCAGCATTTGTATTTAAATTACGAAAATCAAGTAAATAAGAACGATGATCAACTTGATATAATTGAAGACCCAATTTAACCTAAAACAATTTTAAATAAAACTTTATTTTAATTATAAATAATATCGAGTTATAAGCACTGGTGGTTCAGTGGTAGAATGCTCGCCTGCCACGCGGGCGACCCGGGTCCGATTCCCGGCTAGTGCAATATTCTTTTTTTTTTATTTTACATTACTTACATATCGATTTGTATTGGTAACTTTTCGACGTGTTCGAACACTATACATACTATTATTACAATATTTCCATTCCTAAATAAAAACAAAAAAAAGAATAAATAAATAAAAATCTTGTTTTTAGTAGATAAAACTAACCATTCCTAATTCTTTCATCGCTTTAAAAACTTCATTCATAATATCTTGTGGTTTTGATTGAGATCGTATTCCTAAATGCCATTTAGCTTTTTTTAATGATGCAGCAGCTGTTCCTGTTGTTGTTGTTGTTGAACTTGATAGTTTTCTACTATTAGAAGAACTTTGTTGAGAACTATTTGAATTAATTGATGATGAATTATTTGTATCGATTGGATCTAATGTTACACTTAAATCTTTTAAAGCTAAAAAAAATAACAACAAAATTTTTTGTTTGTTTTTAAAAATATTCTTTTGAAAAGAAAAAAAAAATAAACCTGGCATTTTTTCTGGATGAGGACGAACTGGTGCTGATTTCTATTTTAAAAATAAAACAAAAAAATTTAATAAAAAAATTTAAAAATAAATATTTAATATATAAAAGCAGCATAAACAACAATAAAGATAATCTTCGTAAATAAATAGAAGCTGTACAACCTGTGTGAGATAAACTGGTTTCTGAAACTAATTTATTTCGTATAAAATCAATAAATAAATTATTCTAAATAAATTCTAATTAAACTTACAAATGGTGATGGAGAACGAACTGATGTTGAATTTGTCTATAAATATTTAATTATTTAAATGACAAATAAATTTTTCAATTTACTGTCATTGATGATATAAATGATGAATGTGGTGGACTTGATGCTGCAAAAAAATCTGCTATTTCAACTTTTCGAGCTAAACAAAAATGAAAAATATTTTTTTCTTTTTTTGTTTTTAAAATTGAACAAACCTTCATTCCATATTCGTTTATTATCAATAATTAAATGATAAGCAATAACAAGTTGATCATGAGCATCATTGAGCAATAAAGCATCTTGAACTTCAGTTTCAGTTACACCAAATTTCTTTTTATATTCAGAAATAATAATTTTCTTTTTTTGTTTATCTTTTTTATTTACCTCACAAACTTCTTGTATAGCATCAAGATCAATTATATTTGTACCATCTTCACATGTTTTTGGAAAAAGATAATCAGGTAAATTTACTTTAAACCATTCATGTTCTCTTTAATAATATTATTAATGGAAAAAATATTCTTAGAAAAATAAATATTTACCGAATATCTTTAATTGTTGCACGACGAACTGGATCAACTCTGAGCATTTTTTGAAGAAGATCAACAACTGATGGATTTAAATAATCAGGTATGGGAAATACACCAGCTATTATATTAACAAATATATTTTATTTAAATATATCATACTATTCATTTATATTATATAATCAATTGATAATCAACAAAATCTTACACTATTCACAACAAACAGTTTCATATACACATACTACTTTTATTTATTTATGAGGATAATACAATTCTGCCAAGTATTTGTGCTTAATAGCTGTTCTTGCATGAGATATGAGGATATTTTAGAGAAGAAGAAAGTTTGTTTGTTTTTTATTAATTCTGATTATAACTGTATGATACGAACTGAAGTATAAAATCGAAATAATATTATTAAATTTTTATTAGTTATTTATTTTAAAATGTTTGCAATTTACTCTTAATATTGTCTCAATATGTTATGTTTTCATCATCAATTAAACTGAGATTATTCATATAATAACATTGTCTTTTGTTAATATCGTCACGCTTAAATATTGCATCATTCGAATTTTTTTTTTTGTTTTTTCGATATTAAACAAGAAGCTCAAGACAAAGTTCATCACTGTTATATAACTTTGAAATTTGATAAATCAGTTGACATCAACATTAAAACGTTAAATATTTTTACAAGTTTAATAAAATTCATTGTTTTGATACATATTTAGTCCCAAATTATTAAGATAATAGATGAATGGTTATTTGAAATAAAAATAAGTACTCTATTTTGTCACAAGTTTAGACATAACTTGCGAAAGAAGATTCATAAGTATAAATACATTTTCGATTTTAATTGCTTTCAGTAAGATTTACTTTATAGCCTATAGGTTTTTATTTATTTGTTTAATAATCGAGTTATTCATAGGATTAACTATACTCATGGTTCCTAAAGAACAAACATATTCAACAAAAAAAATGTGTTGATTTGTAATAAATTTATGATAAATATTAATATTAATTGAAATATTTTCATTTCTTAATGAAGAACTCTTGTCGGAATCGTAGAAGAACATCTTAGTTAGTTATTTTATAACTAAAATTTCAATTAGTTTTAAAAGTATCAATTTAATATAGAAGAGTATAAAGTATTCTATAAAGTGAAGATATTGAATATCGGATTTACTTTTCTAGGATGACTTAAACCTTAAGGCTCTCCTCCCACGGAAAAATTCATTTCGAAAAAAACCGCGGTTAGACCTGCAAAAACTCAGCTCGAACCGCGGTTTTCGCTGGTTTCAAAAACCGCATAAGCGGTCTGACTTTCGCGGTTTTTTCTTGAAAATTTTTCCGTGTGCTCCCTCTAAAAAGTCACTTTTCGTCAAAATCAATGAAATTAAGATAAACGCAAGGGAAGATAGTCCATCATCGGATCTCTCATAAACGACAAAAATTTTTACTCGGCACGTTCTTTTTTCTTCGAAATTTTTTTAAGGTTTTCTTCATCCCCTATTCGAAAAAGAAGCTGTTTTTGAAAAAAATCGAAAATCTTTTTCGATTTTTCTCATTTTATAAGTTCTCGATCGCATCTCCAAGATTTCTCGAAGAAGCTTCATTATAGCCAATAGTTTTTTTAATCATTGAACTTTCGATCCTTTTTTTCCCTTGAAAAATAAGAGTTTAAAAAAAAGGGCTCTCATAAGCACTGCATTCTGACATGCTCTTTCAAACAAAGAAAAAGTATTAAATGTATAGACTGAAGACCATAGAGAAATTTTATAGATGAAATTAGCTATTTTTGACTGGTATCTCCATCAAACATCATGGCATAAGACTGAAAATTTTACCATAACCATTGTTCATCAGTCCCAACATATCCTGAAAATTTCATGCCATTCGAACGTTCCCAACCTGAAATCGAATTTTGAGGGGGAGGATGGACAGGGTCTTAAAAAAAAACAAAAAATTCTACGAGAAATATTCAATCATCGATTGTTAAACAAGCTTATTGTCTTAAAAAAATAAGAATTTCTAAAGGTTAAAAAAATAAATATGTATTTATCTCGATAAACAAACTGAATGAGGTCATTCCTTTTATTAATGACGCAAAAGTTATTTATCATTAATATTCTCATAAATAATTATAATGATAAAAAGTTTTAGTGAAAAAAACTTATTCAAAGGTCTAAAATGTTCTATTGTTTTTTTTGTTCCAATGATTTTGAGGTCATTATGTACATTGATTTCACTATCAAAAACGAATAAAAAAATGTGGGACATTTTTTGTTCTTCGAAATAGTTTCGTTTGTTATTTTATTCTTAAATAACTTAATTGTAAAATGACGTCAATGAAAAAAACATATTTATAAAGATAAAAAGAAAAACTTACATCGAATTTTTTTGAATAATACTTGAACATTATCATCATCAAATGGTAACTAAAACATTTTCACCAAAAAAAAAAAAAAAAAAACAATTAAAATATAAAAATTTCTTAACATACAGTTCCTGTAAGTAAAGCATAAAGAATAATTCCACAACTCCATATATCAACTTCTTGTCCCGCATAAAGTCTATTACAAAAAATAAAATCAAAACAAAAAAAAAAATTTCTAAACTAACTCTCCAGAGACAACTTCAGGTGCAGCATAATTCGGTGAACCACATGATGTTTTTAATAATTCACCATCTTTCATCATATTTGATAGACCTAAGATAAAACAAAAAAAAATCGACACAATGAAATTTTCTTTAATTAAAATATATTCTTTACCAAAATCTGCAATTTTAACATGAGATGCATCGTCAAGAAGAAGATTTTCTGGTCTAAAAATTTTTAATCAATTTTAAAATAATTCTTATTAAATAAATAAAATTCTACTTGAGATCACGATGAACCTAAAAAAAAATAAACAAATATTAAATGAAAAAAAAACTTGTTAAATATGATACATACAACCATATGTCGATGACAATAATCAACACCTGATATTATCTGTTGAAAAAAAGGTCGAGCTTCAGCTTCACTTAACTAATTATTTAATATTATATTATCAGTATTTATAATTAAATAAATATTTAATAACATACTTTTCCTTTTTTAACAATATAATCAAATAATTCACCACCAGATACATATTCCATAACCATAAATATATCTGTTGGTGTACTTATTACTTGATATCTTATATAAATAATAATTAATATATATTATTAATATAATATAATATCATTCTTACAATTTAATTATATGTGGATGTCGAAAAAGTCTTAAATTTTGAATTTCTCTTCGAATTTTACCGACAACATCTAATTGTTTTATTTTTGTACGATTAACTATTTTAATAGCTACTGTATGTCTTGTTAATTGATGATATGCTTCTATTAATATATATATATAGATATTTACCATTATTATTATTAATCAAACATAAAAAAAAAGTATTCGAATGTACTTTTAACTTTGCCAAAACTTCCAGTTCCAAGTGTTTCATTAAGAATATAATGACCGATTCTAATAACTCCAACATCCGTTGATGGAACATTTGAATTATTTGCAGCTTGTTTTTCTTTTTTCTTACGTTTAAGTTTATCCTATGAACATTAAACTCAATGTAGAAACAAGTTCAAAGTACAAAATAAAAAAATAAATCAATTTTAATACATACAATACTACTAGACATGATTTGATAAATGTATCAGATGGAATCTCAAACTACAATATAAACAAGAAAAATCATAGAAACAAAAGAATGTTATGTGACTAAGCCTAAACAAGTGCGTAATAGGGAGCTTCTCACATATATATGTTGTGTGTAGTGGATGCGTAACAAAATTGCTTTATACAAATGATGACTCATCACTATTCACTTATGTTTTAGCCAATCGGCACCAATTATTTTTATTATTATATATCTTGTCATCTAGTGACATCTTTTCTTCATTCTGTCGTATAATTTCGAAAAGAAAATTGTCTATCCAAATCTTTTGTATTTTCTTAATTGAAATAGAAAAAACAAAAAAAGTAAATTATCTTTATTAAAGTCAACGTTCTTGAATTGAATACATGATTTATAGAATCATTTCACACAATATCGAAAATACTTCATTGTTGGACAAAATATTATTTGCAAACTTAATCTACAACGATTTCAATCTTTTTATATACTTTGATAGTTATTATTGAACTATATCTAACAAAATTTTAATAAAGTATACTGTCGTAGAGTAAACGATTCATCTAAACAAAAGTCAAGAATTTTATCAAAAGCGATATTATTCTAATTATACATGAAAATATATTCATTTAAGAATGAACAACAAAATATTATTTTTGATCAAAACTAATCATATGCTCAACTGTCAAAAACGATAATTAAAGTCACTGATAGATGGTCAACAACGTTAATATATACTATCGTTTCATATAGTTTGTCATCGTAACTAACTATTAATTGACGCTTGATAGGCGTACCATAATGACCTTTTCTTTATTTTGTCGTACATAATTAATAACGAACGTCAAACAGTATAAAAATCGAGTAGTCGACCGTTTACCATATGGTAAAACGCAGTTGTAATATAGTGCCTACCAAAAAAAAAAAGGGAAAAAAAATCTAAAAGAGTTGTTTGCGACTGTGCTTATTTGTCTTAGAAACCTTTCAAGAATCTATTTCGTCTAATGAATTTTCAAAGTTTAATATAATTTATAGAAAAATTTTAGAGATTCAAAGAAATCTTCAAGTTTCTATAGATGTGTATAAGTAAAATACAGCGATGACGACAATATCTATCATCATCTTTTTTCAATTAATGTTCATCATCATCAAAAAAAGTAAATGGAAAATAATTAGCATAAGTATCTCATAGACGAAAATTTATAGATAATTTCATTCTTTTTCATAATTAACTTATCTCAATATTTATTTAAGAAAAAAAAAGTGTTAAGTAATATGATAAAGAGATGTCACTCACTGTTCCAGAATCATGTTTTAATCAATCAAGTGTGTGTGAGTAGTCTAGAATAAATATGATTGCATGTTTTTATATCCTATAAAAAGGTGAATAACTATGAATGACTGATTGATTTTCAATTCAACACAACACCTACTTTCACTCTCTCTCTCTCATTCTATTTGTTCACTTGTATGGATGCATTCAAGGTTAACATTAGCATTGTATATTTGAAATATAGTGTTGTATATGTAGTCACTCATCGTTAGGATCTTTAACATTGATATATTATCAATGATAAACATGGACGAAATCATTGTTTATTCGAATAGTCGTAATGGACTTGGAATACGAATTTTAGGTGCTAAACGAGCTACAAATACATCAGGTATTTATATAAAACAATTACTTAATGATGGATTAGCACAAAGAGATGGACGATTAAAAGTAAATTAATTTAAAAAAGAAACATTTAATATGATTGATATATATATATAGGTTGGTGATCAAATCTTATCTATAAATGATGAAACATCTATAGGTATTAATCGTAAACAAGCTGTTAATATTCTTCGTTCAGCAGCCTCAACAAATCAAGTTCGTCTTCATGTTCAACATTTTATTCCATCTTTATCATCAAGTGAATATCAACAATTATTATATGATGAAAAATCAACTGATGATGATAATGATAATAATAATATTCATCAAATTCTTAATTATAATGTAAATAAAACTGATTTTCATAATAGAAGTCTAACAACGGAAAATGAAGTTCGAATGAGACGTTCATCTAGAAAATATCATCAAGAACAACATCGACATAGTGTAGTAAATTTATCATTTAAAAATAAAAATGATTATAAAGAACAAATTACAAATGATCAAATATTAAGCGGACTTGATGTTTCACATGATGCTCTTCAATCATTACTTAATTCAAGATTTAAATTAATAGATCTTGTTGATTTACTTAAGAAAATCTATCCGAAATTATTATTCAATGATCAAAAACAAGAATTATTATTTATTCAACAATTATCTCAAACAACTTCAGGTAAAACTTAACTCATTTATATATTAAATTACGTTTTACTATTTAATCTTATCAATTTGTTAACTGAAGACATTGAACAAACTTTTGTTAGATTTCATCCAAACATAAATTAAAATAGATTTTTCCAGTAGAGTACTGCGGAACAGTTCCGAATCTCGAAAGAAAGATTTTTCAGGACGGGACAAAAGGTATCGGAACACGAGAAAGTTTATCCCACAGATCTCTATTTTCCAGTCTATACCTGATATTATGATAATACAATTGAATAATGTTAGTCTGACATATATTTGTCTATTTGAATATGATAAATATTTAATGAACAAAAAAACAAAATTATATTTTTTGTTTAATTTTCTAGATGATCGAATAACTTTAAAAGATTTTGAACGACAATCAAGTGTTATTCTTGGTGAACATATTAATCTTTTATTACCATTTTATAGTTCATCAAAACGAAGTTCAACGAGAAATAATAATAATAATAATAAACATGTTGTTGAACTTCATCGTGAAATAGCTTTATTTCGTTCTAAAATTAATGAACTTAAAACAAAGATAATAAATTGTGAAAAAACACAACGTTTATCTGAACAAGTTGAAATTGAATATGAAGATTTACTTAAATTTATTTATGAACAATTAAATCAATATAAATTAAATGAACAAAATCAATTAAAACAAATACGAACAAATCAACAATTAATTGAAAAATTATTTAATTATTTATCTATTTATATTAATAAATCAAGAGATCAACATATTTTATCACAACTTAAACATGAATATGAACAACAGCAAACATTTTTACCATCATCTTATCAACAAAATAATTATGAAACAAATATTTTATCAAATAAAACACATCAACAACGCATTTAAATTCCAGTTAGATATTATTTCTACTTAATCATTTTGTTTTTTTGTTTTTTGTTGTCATATAGAAATAATCAATTGTTTTTATGTTCGTTGCATATCGATGCAGATAAAAAGAGTATCAAACAAATAAGGAGATTTATATTAAAAAACTTCAAGTTGTTAATAAACATTTAGTGAATTCATTTCAATTGTATTATTCATTACACTAACGTATTTAATGTCTCATCATATGAATAATCTCATATAAACTTATGAGCAAGCGAGTGTCAGAGAAGTGGCATTCACTTATAATTATAAATTGTTCTTGATTTTAACTGACTTTTATGATGAAAATATTTGCTTTTGAATAATCATTATAAGCACATTTATATTTGAGAAAAAACAAATGGTTAAGAAATATAGTGAAATTCATGAAACAAACGATTTCCTTTTACAAGAAAACGACAAATTGTCTGTCAACGAAACAAATTCATTTCTTGAAATAATAAAAGTTTCATTAACATAATTAATTTATAAAAATTTAAACTTCATTTTATGGAGTATTTTTTATTATTGGTTTTTTTCTGGATGTATCTTTTGTCTATTTTGGTATTCACTTTTTCTATCGTTATAGAGTACAAACTATGTGCGGTTGATAAAAACAATATTTATGCAGACCATACAACTGAGATTTTGTTGTTATTTGAAATATATATATATATATCACCCGAATGAAGAATTTATTTATATCATGCTCCGTGGCACTTTAGTATCAACTTGATAAATAAAGAATCATGACAATTTAATTCGATCTTGCCAAATATAGGCATGTAATGAACTTGAGCTATTTGGACTCTTTCTTAGTTTTCATCTCTCAAAGAAATAGCTTAGCTATTGCTTCCTTTCATGCATTATAATCAAATCACTTATGACTATTTCAGCATACTAACGGTCAGAACATCTAATGATTAACCATTTTCCTAAAACTTAGCTCTATGATTATTAACGCACCTACTAGTTAGATTTCTTTACAATATATATGAGAAGAATCTATTGGTTTGAAAGATCAGTTCTGCACGTTTTCTTTTTGTTGTTTTAGGCAAATTTGAGGTCTTGTATCTCGTGATGGAGGTCTAAAATTTTCAGCATTGAAAGAAGTGATAAAGATTTATCTACACTAAAATTTTCAGGATGTGTGTGGGTGTGGGTATGGTCATAGCTTCTTCATCATCCAGACGTCCCACAAACTAACCACTGACAGGTTGATGTGGTGGCGAAGTATAGCAATAACCAGACCAAATATTTTGATTCTGTCGCGCTACTGAACAACACTCTAAAGGTTGTGCACGACTATGATTTATGAGAGTTGAACATATAACACAAACAAAGTTCATCAATTATATACTGATGCCATCTATCTATATTAATATAGAATTTGTTTATTTAAAAGTACTCTAAATCGAAACGAAAACTTTTAAAAACAAATCTTAATTTTTTGATTTCTAATATTTTTTAATGGAGACAAATAAAATTCTTAACGAAGGGTAATTCCATAGATAAGTAACATTTAATGGATATAAGCCCATTCATATATATTGAAAACATTAAAAAATGGTACTTCCAACATTGCATTCTCATTCTGAAACTAAACATCTAACGATTCCACAACAGATAAGTCACAGAGGACAAGATATTAAAACGGAAAAAAAGTAAAAATTCGATTATATGTTCAAGCATTCTTATGGTTGTTCTCTTTAGTGTTGAAAAGTCTCAAACAATCAACAATATCAATGCACAAACTCGTTATAATTCTGCACA